TCTGATCCATGTGTACAAGTATCTGAAGGGGGGGGTGTCGAGAGGATGGGGCAAGACTCTTCTCCGTGGTGCCCAGCGACAGGACAAGAGGCAACGGGCATAAACGGAAACCCAGGAAGTTCCAGCTGAACATGAGGAAAAACCTCTTTCCTGTGAGGGTGACAGAGCACTGACACAGGTTGCCCAGAGAGGTTGTATATAGTCTCCTTCCCTGGAGATATTCAAAGCCTGTCTGGACACGATCCTGGGTAACATGCTCTAGGTGACCCTGGTTGAGCAGGGGGGTTGGATTAGACCTCCAGAGGTCCCTTCCAACCTCAACCATTCTGTGAGTCTTTGAAACCTCATGGACTGGGTGGAAGATATACTGAAACTAGATAAGTGTATTTTATTGCTATCTGTAAACATAAAATCATTATTGGAAATTATCAGCGCTTCTGATTGCAGCGCTAGTTGTAGCAGGGATGTTTTAGTGGTTTCTATGAGGTCACCCTCCTCTGTGCTCCCATCACACATCGGCGCCCCAAGCAGAGCTCACGTCCCCACTGCACTGGGCACTGTGCAAACACAGAGCAAAAGACAATCATCATCTCAAATGGCACTCAAGAAACAAGGGGAAAAACTCTGGAGGAATAGTAAGGAACAACTGGAGAGTGTTGACCAGCGCACACAATAGTCTACTCACTAGTGGCCTCTCTACTGATGGGAAAGCTGTAGTCATCATACCAAAGGAGAGTGTATAGGAGGGATCTGCAGGAGAATTAAGGTTTCCTTCATGGCTGTATGCAAGTTTCTCTTAGAACTAACAGTAAAACTGACTAATTTGCTGAAGGGAGAAAAACATGCAGTCTAAAAAAAAATTTGCCAGTTTGATAAGTATGAAGAGCAATACTGGCCTGTAATTGAATTAAAATAAGCCTTTGTCACTGAATCCAAGGAGTAAACTTACTCAAGCGACCACAGTATGTCTGCCTTTAGCAATGAACAAAGTTCCTTCACTAAAAACTTCTTCCTAAAACAAGTTTTAAACATCAAGTTTAGATATATTAAAAGTTCTTCCCTTCAGCTACCGACCACAAACAAACTGGTAACTGATTAACATGCATTGATGTTGGAGCCCCACAGCAATAGCAGATAACTATAAAACTAACTATTCTACTTATTCTACTGACTGCAATTCCTTATCATCAGTTGTTTAGGTCCTCTAACACGTTTATTGACCCTCAGATAATTCTCTTAAGGAGAGAGAAAAATATAAAAAAAAGTCTTAACAAGTGCAATTTCTTTTAAATGCTTGTTTGTTAAGGTAAGGATAACTTAAAAACATCAAAAGTAATTGCTTAAAGTACTTTGATTCATAACAAAGCACTGCACCTCTGACCTCTCAGTACTGATCCTCAAGGGGAACCTATAAAACACTTCAAATAAGATCCTAGGCTCCTACGAACTAAAGATTTATAGTTCTACTGATCTAAAAATTATAGACTTGATAGAGGTACCGGCACATTATAAACCTTCCCTCCTCCCCAAATCCTCTCTTTCATGTTCCATAGACAAACAATGTATTATTTGTTTCCTTCCCCTTTCCCCCCTCTCCAAAGGAACCACCCAGTCACCTCTACCCTTGCTACCAACCGATAAACTTATTGACCAAGATAAGCTGTCCTCAGCTGGCATTTAGTTTTGAAGATTGTTGCTTCTCTATCAGGCAAGAATATGGGTTTTCATTCCTCTAAGCTTGTTTATGTTCAACTCTATGAGCTGACACTCCCACAAACTTGGCCATATTTTAATTCATAAGGCAGACAAATGCTGAACTGCTAATATATGGTAAAAAATATTTACTGAACTTCTTTAAGACAAGCAGGACAGTTGAGGGACGTTCTTCAGCTATCTGCAGGTCACTGCTACTCAGTTCAGGCTGCTTTCTATATTGTTTTCACATTTCCTTGGGAGAACCACTTAAGGCTACATCGCAGTGCTATGAAGAAGAAAAGGTGAAAGTCTAAAATATCTTTGGTATTTAGACTGAGAGGTAAAAAATTCTAGCTATTTGCTAGAGCTTTGCTAGGTATTTGCATCTAGCTCTAGATGTCAGCGTATCTCACACGCCTCCCAAAGAGAGAGCAGCAGCAAAGGTAAAAGTTTGAAAATGCCCATTTAAAAAGGGAACAGACAGACAACAGAGGCTGCTGGTACAATGGCCTTCCCAGAAACAGGAGTCACCACTTCAACAAAGAGCAATAACTGATGGCGAGAGCAGGCATTGATCATGAAGGATCTGAAAGGGCATGAATGCCGCAGCATATATTTGATGCCAGAGAAGGAGTAGCCATTAAAAAATGACCTATTTTAAGCGACAGCCAAGAACAATCTTCCTCCAGTGTTCAAAATGGATAGGAACGTGGAAAACTGCATTCATCAAGGCTACATAAATAGTAATTTCTGCAATTGTCATGCAAGGTGAAAATTTTAATTGGACAAGAAATATGTGGGGTTCGTTATCCTAAAAGATTCGGTAGAAGGCGTAGAATGGGATTCATGTCACCCCAATGTAGCAGGCTGGAAGCTCGCTGCCTACCCTCTTAGGGTAGCTGGGTAAGCTCCATCTGAAGCTGGCACGCGGAGATAAGCACGTCTCTTAGCTCACACTGCATGTGCCTGTCTCTCCGCTGCCCAGAGATGGGCGCTAGATGCCTAAACCTCCTACAGCTGAACTGAGGTGAAATGAATGCTCCCCTAAAAACAGCTCAGCGGTAGGGGCCTAGAGGGAGCTGTAGCATGAAGACAGTGTCCAAGATCACGGGCCTGTGTCACAGAACAGCGGTGCCGTGCACAGCAATGAGAAAAGAGGCAGGTTTTTGCACCGTGCCTGAGAATTAAAAGACTTCTCATTTTCCCTTAAACGGGAGAAACAGCCATGAGGAAAAGATTTCACGTTAACATGAGAAAGCTTTGGAATAGGATAATAATTCCACCAGTTGTTCACTTATTCTGTATTTCACCTTCCTCTACAAGATCAGGGTACCTGAACAGAGGAGACACAAATACTAGGGGGAGGCGCTCTGCATCAGACAAAGAGCCAGACAAGAAGGAAGGAATCATTTTGGTTCAAGTACAATTGCAGATGAAGAACATTTCTTGCTGGGCACCTGTGCACCATTACTCTCAGTTCTACATTTTGCAGAAAATGACCATAGGTTGCTAATGTAATGGAGTACTCTATACTGATGATCCAAGACAAATTTGGGGTTGATGTTCCCCAAACATTCACTAACCCAGCCAGAAGGGACCTTTCTTCCCTCCCCACCAAAGGGAAAATCTCTGAGGAGAAAAGTTCTCCTGCAGAGGAGCTTGTCTGCCCGCAGCACTGGAGAAGGGGACCCACGCAGGTTGTGAAACACCGATGCAGCTGTAGTGCTGTCACTTTAAAACATGAAACAATTTGGGACAACTGATCTCTTAACTTACTTGGTTCCAGCATACAATGGGTCAAAAAACTGAGCCGTCACCATCGCAGCATACCAAGAAACAGCCACCATGGAACAGAGCCCTACCAAAAAAAAGTTAAAGCGGCACATAAGCGAGTGATTCCTTTAATGCTTGTACGACTTTAAACTAAGAATTAATGTTTGTTTCATTTAGTCTAGTTATGAAAGCAATACAAAGTACTGATAGCATTCTCATTTCAGCTTCAATATTACCTCCTAAAATAAAGATAAATCCTCCCGTGGCAGCAAACTTCACTTTTCTGTCTTCATTACTCAACCCAACGTGTGTGCATTTTAAACCGAGCAGCGAGAGCACTGTAGCTATGAATCCCAAAAGGATGGAAATTATCATCAGGGCACGGCATGCCTGAATATGAGCTGTGTAAGACAGAAAAAGAGAAAAAAAAAATCAGGATCTACACAGAAATTAAGTCTATTCCAGAAAAAAATAAATAATCAGAGACAGTCAGAAAGTTAACAGGAACAGTAAGGAGTGACTCTCGTATGCCTTTGTTGTCAGAGAAACATCAAAATCAGATTTCAGATGTCAATGCCGAACTACACTGTACAGCAGCATTAGCAAACTATGAAAAAAAAATGTAAGAAGCCCTTCATCGTTTATGTCTTCAAATCCTGTGAAAACAAGCAGTGGTATATAAGGTCGTTTACAGGAGCAGAACTAAGACTCTTACTTAGGAGTCCTGGTGGTTCCCTTACAGTTAATTGACGGTGTGCCCAGAATACCTCTGAACTCCAGCCCTTCCGCGCTGCCTCGCCACGTCGTATGGGGCCCTGGCGCTGCCAGAGCAAGCAAAGAAATCCCTGGCCGCAGGCTGCTTTGCTACTGCCAAAAGCAAGTGAAAGGCAGGCAAGAACCTGCTGGAGCTAGCTGGGACTTAATGCTCTGAGTAAGGGTTATCAAGCAGGAGACGAGCTCGATCATGGACCTGCAGAAGTCTTCTGCTGTCATCTCTAACATCTCCTTCTGCAGGGAGGTTAGCATTGGTGCGGGTACTCCAGGGAACTGGTGGCCAATCCCAGAAACATTTTCAAAGCTCTTCCTCTGCTTATGCTGACAAGTCTCTCTCTCTCTCTGATACCTAAGTGTGAAGACCAGGAAACTATCACACAAAAAATGGGAACAGATTATTAACCAGAATAAGCAGGAAGGTCAGAGAGGGACTTTGGGCTCCCTAAAACGATTCCCTGAATTTGGCAGGTTCCAAGTCAGATGACATCTTGGCATCTGTTTTTATGAGGTGATCACTTCCCAATGCACTTTGGTCTAACAGGGGAGATTTTTGTAAATTTTACTTCCTTCACAAAAAAACATGGCAAGTGCCAGCAATTTGGCAGGTCTTGGCTCCTAACACGTGTAAAAGGGTCTGAGCTAGGCTGTGGCTAGACAACCACAGCACCTGGGCTAGCGCTCGCGCTCCCGCTCCCTGACTGCCTTCCCATCCTGCAGGTTAACCTGTGCTCTGGCTCAGTATCGACATGAGCCAGCTAGCTCTCCAGACACTGCAATTCAGGCATGGAAACAGAAGCAGCAGTGATGGATTCACACCCAAAGTCGGTGGGCTATGTGGCTTTATACGACTTGAGAGTATTGCTCCTGGGAGCTTGAGCAGGTATCAAAGATAGTGACACACAGTCACGAGACAAATACAATGAGGCATGAAAGAACAGCAGTTTGAGGAATCAATGTTTTAACAAACACCAATTAAAAAACGTTCTGGAAAAAAAACAGACAATTATAAAAGGGGAAATGCGCCCCCTGCCCCCCCGAAAGTACCACTAGCAGTTTAAGGCTTTTGCCAGCAGAACACAGAGTTCGGACAAGGGCTCAGCTTCAACATTGCTTTCTAGTTTGGTTCGTATGCCACAGCAGCAGCTATTGCCCACAGCAGGGATCCAGCAAGTTATTTTTCAGCTCTTTGGAAATCCTACAGTATTAAATGGGGCTCCCTGTCTCTTTGCAGGGCACTGATGCTGCCCTCAGGCTAACGGTTTGCAATCCAATGGCCATATTAATAGAAGAGATTTCATGCTCTATCCTCTTTGTACCACAGCACAATAATCTCAACAGCCTTAACTGAGCAGCTCATTTCACAGTCTAGAAACCTCAACGTCCTGTTGCCTTTTTTCTATAAAATGAGCTTATTGAACAAGACATAAGTCAATTAGTTTCATTAATCAAAACTAATTGCAAGAAACGATCCTAAATCTTGCCATTGGAAGAGATGCCCACAGAACCTTCAAAAGAAGAAGAGTTTAAAAGGCATTTGGCAGCTGATTGCTTTTTATCAAATGTTTGATCTCCCAGTTGTGACTACATCTATAGGGCTAACTATACCATATTGTTTTAATCTTATGCAATATTGCTTTAAAAAGGTCCACCACATGCACACATTCGTAATTTGGGCATCTTGAAAATCTCTGCAGGTTGAAATTGTATTGTAAACATCTCAGTCTTAATTGATTCAGCAACTCTGGTCTCAATGTTTCTTTACTTACTTCATAGTTTGTTTTGGGAAATATCCATATAAAGAACACGCTAACCTTTGGCTATCTAAGTGCTAAGCATGTGCCTGAATGATATGCAGCGATCACAAAAAAAACCTGCTTCCTGAATAAATGGACATCTAAATCCTATAGAATACTTCTCTCATACTGAAGATTTATACCATTAAAAATATCTGTGACAGACATCCAAGGATGATGAAAGAATCTCGTTCTATAAAAGAAGGGGTAAAAATGATGTACTAAGCTAACGGCCAGCTGAATTCAAAAGCTTTAAAACTGTTTAAAAGTTTCAAGCCTGATATTCTCCATACACAAAGGAAAAATCGGAGGCATTCCACAGAGCTATTGCTGCCAAAGAGGAAACCTTTACAGTAAATCTTTATGACCATGCTTATGGCCTTTATGATGAGCTGTAACACCCCATGAACAAAGATATCTTTTTTTTTATAACCTCTGGCATCTTCTCTTGTCATAGTTATGGGCAAGTTTCTTAAAAGCAATTTGAAACACGCCTAAACCGTCTAATGATTATTTTTCAGTCTGCCTTGCCTCATGCCTGCAGGTGCATCACTAACAACCCCACTTTCTTCCTCTTTCCTGATTGGCCAACTATCATCTTCACTTTTTCTAAATGTCAGTGTCCCCTAACTTGTTGCTTTTTCTGTTACTCAATTTTTCTTTCTAAAACTTTTTCTTCTCTACAATTCTGCAAGCTGCTTTTTTGGCCTCTCTTTTCCCCTGCCTGTACCCCCTAAATATACTCGAGAATATTCTCAAGTAACATCTTCTCAAGCAAACTAGAGTAACTGACGTCTTCTTCAACTGCATCAAGGTTCATCTTCAAACAGTCCCTTTCAGAGCCTGGCCTATGAATGCACTTGCTGCCTGCCCTTGTTCTTCTCTTCCTCCGACTCCATGTTGCTACCAGCAGCTCTCCAGGAGCCTTGCTGCTTGCTTTCCCTCCCCCTTTTGCTTTAGCACATCCACTCACAACGCTGCTTTCTGCCTCCGCCAGCAGCTCCGAGACCCTGCCCGGATGCGGCCAAGGGCCCGCGTCTCCCACGCTCAGGGGCAACATCCCGTGTGAATACCTCCTTGACCAGAGGCCACACAGAGCCAGCAGGGATATGCGATGAACCAACTCCTGCAGGGCCTTTGCGTGAACCAAACGCGAACTCGCGTACGTGCTCTGCAGAGGAAAACCGGATGGACAACATCCTGCTGTTGCTGATCCTAACGAGTTTACACAGGGTACCTTTCACGTTCCTCTTGCACGCGCGGTTTACCCATGCGGTTTAATACCGCTTGTTAGTTATCACTGAAAAATTAAAGAACAGATTATTCCCTAAAGACTGGACCCAGCTACGCAGTCTCACAGAATTTCTATGCCACTTTCAGAGCTGGTCAATAACACCAATTTATTTCAGACTGAGTGAGAGAGGGAGGTGAGAGAAAAATCTCTTCCTTAAGCCCGACTAATCCTGTGTTACAGGCTCTCCACCACAGGAGTATCCTCCTTCCTGGTTAGTTTAACCACCTCCTACTGTGGGTACAGCTCATTAGGAAGGCATTCTTATTCTGGGATAAGTACCTACATACATTCAAGATTAATAAAAAATGAGTTAACTGTCTATCGCGCTACTTACTACACAGAGAATATCGCCTTAAACATTTGAGGTCAATCCGCAATATGACTGAAAACTGACATATAGCCCAGGAAACAGCATCTAAATAAAAATTCTAAATTTCCTGATATTTAGAACCACCTCCAGCAAGACATTAGTTACCAGCTTCTGGCATGTAAATTAATTTAAAACATATCCTCATTTTATTTCCATTATGCCATTATGTATGATTTTTCAGTCTCAACATGCCAGAAATACTAGCTGCTTCTTCACTAGAAACACCACTTTCACCCATGCATGTGAAAAGGTGCAGATACAGTACACGGGCTGTCGAGTAGTGCAAAAGAATGCCTATACAGTAATCCCAAATAAATAAGGAATTGTCATAAGACTTGTGTAAAAATGACTCCTAATAAATCTTCCCATACGATGCTAGAAAAGAGATTACACTATACTTTAAATGCCTATGAAAGTAAATGCTTAATCAACAACATGACTTCATTTGCCTTATTTTATAGCCTTTCCCAATGTGTTTGACATATTCTGCTGCTTAAAGAAGATTTTTTTTTTTTTTTTTACTTTAGCCCCCAAATTCCTTGCTGGCCAGAAAGTCAATGTTGTTTTCCAATACTACCAGATTACCAAAACAAAAATCTTACTGCTTCCTTCCAACAAATTCTTCACCAACAGAAACAAGCCTGTACAAAGTCACATACCAGGCAGCGCAAACATAGAGTCAAATTCTCTGCAGTTGGATACTCCAGTGCTGTCTTCTGCACAGCTCTTCCAGAGGTTTTCAAACAACGTCGATGTCGTGATCACACTACCATGTATACTGGAGATTTTCCAGTAATTATGTGGCAACGTTGCTCCAATAAGTATCCATCCACCCAAACACAGAAGAAAACCAGCAATTTCCAAAGCAGCAGACATGCTTGCGGGTAGTGACCGTTAAATAGGTCTATAATGAGATTGCAATCAGGTGGAATTAAATATATGTCTTCCTTAGAAACCTCCTTGCTGCTTTATCTCTGGCTTTCACTCCAAAATGAGGCTACCTTTGCTCTTTGCTCAACCCCACAGATAAGGCTTCCAGTGCATGACAATAAGAAGTGGGAACAGTTTATGACAGAGGCATTAGTATTTTTTAAACTACTGCCAATATTAACGACAAGTGACAAAAGGAGCCTATTCTTAACCTCAGCCTATAAAGTCCAGCCAGTATTCTTGCAAAAGATTTTTGTAAGAGTGATGATATTGGCAAATATTTTCTCTCTCTCTCCTCTCAAATCGATTACAGTTTGCACAGGATACATACACTGAAATTTTCTTACTGATATCAAATCAAAACAAGCTTTGTCGGGTTATTTTCTTCATGACAAAACTCATCTGGAAACTTCTGAGCAGGAATTTTTTTTCCATTCATAGAAGATTTAGCACATTTTTAGAATTATGCTCGCAAGCAAACCAATAGTAACCTCTCGCTTAGCTAAAACGGATAGCAACTGTGCTGAGAGCTTATTTCAGGAACGTTAAGTTTGTGGATAAATGATTTTCATTAATATTTTACCATCTATTGATCTACAGTTAAACTGATGCACTCATAAAACATAGTCCCACGTATACTGGCATACAACCATGATAATGCACGGCCCATGGAAACGAGACGTAAGGGACAGAATCACAGCGCGACAAGCCTGTGTCAAAATTATGAAGGAAAATAGCTACCTGAGGAATATCACCTATCAGCTGATTGCATGATTGTCAGATTATTTACATTAGGAGAAAGAAAAATCTATTCTAGACTAAGTAGAGGTGCGTAAACTTGGCTTACTTGCTTCTGCCCTTAACTACACACAGTCACAGATTCACTTCACATCACTCACTAATTTAATACCTTAAACTGCTTGTGTATGTACATAGGGGTAACCATCTTTCACAGTGGCAACCTGCTCTTATGTCCAGCAAACGGAGTCACAAGTTCTTCAGAAAACAGCTATGTTATGATGCAACTCATCATATGCAGCAGAGTCATGGCATTACATGTGTATGGCATGTTATGCCATGTAATGCCGTAAGGACTCCCAAAAGGATCATTTCTTGTGAGAGTCTCAACTGGCCCATAACAGATATATCTGTTTTTCAAAATTCACTGCTCATTTTGAGCCTGTGCTGCAGAAGACCAGGTTTTAGTTGCACAACGACACTATAGTGCCACTGCGAGCGTTCTTCCCCCTTCGCAACCAAGAGGAGCTTCGCCATTGACTTAAATAAGAACAGATGTAGCAGCCCAGCCAGTGTGATCATGTCCAGCTCTGTACTTGCAATCTTTTAAAGAAACCGGAGAGCGATGTGGTAAGAATTTATGTTCTAAGGACATTTCTACAGAATCCTCTCCTGCTAGGAAAAGGTCAGTGCAATTTCAAAAAGATGGCGCAGTAAAATGAATACACTGAAATATCAGCAACCCCTTAAAAGCTCTTCAAAGAGTTTCAGATTGATTTATCCATACACAGGTGTCACCCTCGCAACCTCAGAGATCAGTTCTGCTCACAGGACTTTCAAAGCTGAGTTTAGCTGGGCACTCGAACCAAGCGTCCCCAGATTTTTACATGGCTGCCATAGGTAGTTTTCATAAAGAATTGTTCTCTTCCTAATGGCTATTAAGAAGGTTATTTGGACGGGCACTCATAAAGCACACCTATAAGCAGAAAAGATTGAACTGCAGACCTGGCATGCATGAGTTTTTCCTCATATGGCACCATTTTAACCATTCCATTAAGGAAATTACTGTACTTTAAGGAAAACAGAAGTGTTGAAGAATACGGTACCGTTTTTTCACTACATCATTGGGTAAACAGAGGCTACAGCCATAATAGCAAGTGCTACAGTGCAGCAGCATCGGCAGCAGCAGAGTAAACCAGCTGGCATTGGCAGCCTCACATCAGCACTCCCTACGAGCTGAGAGTTTTACTCAGACTTGCTCTAATCTGCTCCGGTGACCCGAACGCCCGTTTCGGATCAGCAGGCATGCGGCGCGTTCGTGGAGCACATTTCCCTGCTTATTTTCATCCACAAGCAATCCAGCGTGGACACTCCAAGAGCACTCCGCAATGCAAACCAAGTGTGGTAAGTGAGAATAATTGGAGGATTCACTACAAAAGTGTACACCTGATGCAAGTAAAATGCTAATGTAGATGCATCTAGATAGGTGATATATGACCTTGGAGAGAAATTGCTAATAGCTCTTCCTTAGTCTAAGTTGCATAGATATTCTAAAATCAGAGCGTACCTCCATATAATATGGCTGAGAGAGGGCTTACAGGTAGAAAAACGTATCTTTTTTAATCGGCTCAACCAGTACAGTTGGGAAAAAAAATCACTCAAAGAATTAACACCCTAATGTTTGGTCAACACAAGCTGTATCTTTCTGATCTCTATCACTTCTGCCGATTTGTTTCCAGATTATAGGAATGTTGACTCCACGCTGTAAGACAAGCAGCCCTGTGACTCACGGCGATTACTCTCCAAGCAACCATACCAAGTGTCCATTAGGTGGCATGAAGGAACCTTTGCTGTTTCTAGGACAAGCAGCTGTTTGCGCAGCTGCAGACAGCTAGCAGAGCCCTGCTAACCAGGGACCCTCCCTTACGACTCGGGGAGGGGGGTTGTTGGAAGGGAGTGAGGAAAAAGTCCTGGAGAGGCAACTGCTTCAGCTCACCAGGAAATCTTCTGCCAGTGACCTTTTCCTGGTGGCTCTGGTGACTCTTTCTGAAAGCAAGTGAACGTTTTGGTGTCTCACCTGATGAAAAGTGATAGCGGACACAGAAAAGCAGCAGACTGAGCAAGAGCCATTCAAAGCCTTCCACAGAGCCCCAGTGTCTTTCCACGCTGGCGGTACTGAACCTGCATGATGCAAGGCGGCTGTCACGCATTCAGCATCTGCATGTCTCCACGGCCCCGACAAGCCTCCGTTTCTCCCTGTTTGGTGAGGCAGCGCACAGCTGCCATGCCGTCTTAAGAGCCATACCATCTTGCTATGGCGTATGAGAACAGAAGGACCATTGGTCCCACCTCACCACTCTGATTTCCAGAAATCAAATCTAGGTTTCTAAATGAAATTTAGACTTCCCGGTATCCGCATACAGGATGTCCTGGAGAGGAGTATTCTCATACTGGGAATCTGCACAACTGAAACAGAAAGGTATGAAAAGCTGACATTGCCTCCGACTTACATGAGCGGAGTTACTAACGTCCTTGGAATGACACGATAAGCCTCCTTCTGAGGCTACAAAATTGGACTCATTATGGGATGCTGAATACTTAGTCTCAAACTGGCACCATCGTTATGAAAGCAGATGAGGCCTGAGGAAGAACCATGGATATGCTGAATCTTTAGAGTTTTCAGGCAGTCAGGTTTTAGAAATCTGACTTGCAGTTAGGAAGATCTGACTTCAGTGGAGCCCATGTCTGGGTCAAGAAAAACAAGCCTTCCTAGTGTGCGAGACGTGATATTCGTAAGACCAGAATCCTGGGTTAAGCACTGCATAGCAAGAATAAATCAGCTGGGAAAATCCCCCCAGAAAGTCCAGAAAACCAGCAATGACAATGCATAAAAGAAGGAACATCTGAAGAAATGGTTCCATGGCAATATAACCAATAAAGTGACTGCACACTACGGAAAGTTGAAAAAAACTAAATGGAATGTTCTGTTTAAGACTGAAATCTTACCAAAACACCACTTTTCAAAGGGCATACTGCAACTGTTTCTCTGCTCAATTTTTTGAGGAAAGCACTTAAATACATCAGTCCTTCCTGGTCCTTTACCACGAAAAGAGTGTTTAACAGAAAAATATGAAAAATGCAGAATAATCCCAGTAAAATAATTTTCAGGACCTAGAAAGACAATTCTTCTCTTGCAATTTGCAGATAAGTTACCATGCTAGCTTAGAAAACACAGAAGCATTATTTGTACAGACACATTTTAAATTAAGCTGGCTGCCTTTGAGAACAACTAGAACAAATAGGCAGATTTAGCACACATTATCAAGCAACTTCTGGAATATCTGAAAAATTCCAACTCACAGCAAAGCATAAACGAGCACCGACACTCATTGACGTCTAATCTGCTTGCAGTTAAGAACGAGACCGGGTAAGACGATAATTCCCCCCCTCCCCCCCCAAACAATAAAAAAAATCCCTGACTGATTGCATATCGTTCATACTTCTATTCCAACACCACACAGATGGCAACAAAGCAACAGTAAGTACTGAGCTGAACGGCACGGTTAAGGATATGGATTTCACTAGGGCCGTTTTAGCCTGTCTGTGGGTAAAAAAAAAAAAAAAAGGACAAATCTTGTCTTTACCTCTGTAGCAAGAGCTACTGCACTAATATGCTGTTCCAAAAGGAGGAGTAAAATTACATCCCCAGATTTGACAGAAGTGTGCCACACCAACTTACTGTCTGCACTCAGCAAGTAGGAAAATTTCTTGCACTGCACTTTTCCCAAAGCCGTAACCGGACACTCCATCCAAAGGCCTTCAGAAATCCAGTCCGTAGGGACTAACACTGTTGCCGTGCTGGAAATTCTCCATCTGTTGGACATGGTAGTAACAAGTACAATGGTGAATGCGGCTAGAGCCAGCAGCAACGCACAAATTTGTGAAGCAGATGATGCCATTGTTCCGACAGAGGTTAGTTTTCAAAGAAGCCTCCCAAGATTTCCGATATTAGGAACCTGTTGAAACAGTTCATACACACACAACAGATGAATTTATCTTTATACAAGTTGCGAGCCTATCCTTTACATAAACATCAAAAAGACTTACCTACAAAATAATTTAGCACGTAAGAACGTCACAGAACTGGAATCTAAATCTCATGAGGTAATTGGAATACTTAAATATTCTGATATCTGAGTATTTTCTTAGGAATGCTTTTATTACTTGATATGTTTACTGCAAAAAAACCACAACAAAGGCAAATCAGAAGACCCAGCTGAGGAATTTCGTACTTCAAATTTGGAATGTTTTGTCAGGTCTTTACTGCCTTGCAAACCCAAAATTATTTTAAAATTAAAACCCTCAAATGCTGGCATAAATTATTCATTTTAACATGATTGCAATGCCGACCAAATTTAAAATGCAAGAGATTTTCATACTCACATTCACGCTATTTTCTATCCGTTTCATTTACCCTCCTGCTAAGACACCGCTGTCAGCACTTTGTGAGGATCAGTTTGCTTAAACAGTTTTGCACTCTTTAGGACCTTTCCCCCCGTTCTAAAAATCAAGGCCCTGGGGCCAAAGCACTCCCCGCCTGTTGCACAAAAGCTCAGGCATGGCCTGTCACCACAGCAAAGTTGCAGTAAAATGGATGCCATCATATAGAAGAACTGCAGAAATATCATGTGAATTAGTAGCCAGAGTTGCTCCGATTAATCTGGCCATCACTGGCGTACAACCCGCTTTGTCAGTGCCCACCACTGCCAGGCTCCAAGGCGAGACAGAGAAACAGTGCAGTTTTCCTTGTGGCTACTTTACTTGAAAGTTCTGTGTTGCACTTGTCACCAAGACGCTATATTTTCATGAAAGGAGGTCAGCATTCATGTACGACAGGCAAACAATCCAAGGCAGCATTTGTTTTAGCACGTAGCCCCCACACTGTGAAGAAATATTCAAGCTCTGCATTTAAAAAGGAACTCGGGCCTCATCCCTTAAAAATTAGTTCAAAACAGCTGCAACACCTTGAGAATTTGTTTGCACAAGGAAGCAGGATTACTTTCAGTCCACTCCTTAAAAACATGTATATCCCACTATAAAAGCTTGATCTTGCATTGAGGAGGAAACGCTTTTCTCTCCAGCGCTTTAAATTGTGTAACCTCTTTGAAACACACGTAACAGTCAATAAAGAATATCTGAAACAAACGATAAACCAAATAATAAATTCAAACAGGCTTCACATTGCATGGGCTGATAATTCAAACAAGCGTTTCCGTCTGCTACATACTTATTAGGAGCCACGCAGTCACAAATCGTTCCTGACAGTAAGGAAAAGATGGTTAAACTACACGTGGTGCACCATCACCATGCATAGGGCATACATCAAAGTTGTAAATACAAAACTCTCATTAAAATTTACCAATTTAAAATATTTTAAGTTTAAAATTGAGCTTAGATTAGACAAAAAACAAACAAACAGCCTTCCTTTCTTCCTCATCCCTCGGCCCAAATCCAACCACTTTCTAATGAGCGTGCAAATAACAGTGTAAGAGCCCTTCTCCCACCTTTAAACGGACGTGCGGTATCAGCTATTCCCCCCCCGTTAGCGGTGTACACCATCTCTGAGTTTCACACTGTACGTACGAGTGGTACTCGAAAGAAACACGCGCGGGTGTCCTAACTGAGGAGGTGACGTTTCAATCGAACGCATGGGGAAAACGGTAGGTGGCAAGAAGAACAGACTCTGAGGGCGCAGTGTGTGAAGGACCAACTGAAAGGCATTTTATTTCCCAGATCTTCTCAGAGAAGCAGGCAGAGAGAATTACTAACGTTTGGAAGGCAAAGCCTGCAGCGCTGGTCGTTCGAATCCCGAAGGGCCGGGGAAGCGGCTCTGGTGCCTCAGCAGCCACAGTTCAGACAAGGTCCTTATCCCTTCTGTGCCTTCTGCCAGTCCCCACCAGATGCAGGTGCCGATTTCTTACTCCTCTTGTAATTTTCATGACAGATGTAATGCCAGGGAAACGCGGTTCCTTGGACAGGATAAGAGTTCAGCTAACAGAAACCATTTGCAGAAGAGAAGTTTCCGAAAGCTAACAGTTTTTCCCTTCAGTTGGTACCACACCCACCGTCCTCTTGAGGATTTGGTTTTACTACTTCATACTTTTACTTTTTTGTTGACTTTTCTACCTTTTACTACTTTACGCTTTCAATTTGCCCTGTGTATAGAATTGAGCTGATGGCCAAATATATAATAAATAGGCTTTGGGACTGTCCAAACAAGCGCGACCATAAAATAATAATTTTAAAGAGAAGTCCAGAGCATCACCACCCCGCAATCGTACGCATCGGCCACACACACCTAAGAGCTGTGATGTGGTAACAAGCCCCAGAGAGCAAAAAGAAAAGGGGTGCATCCTAACATGAAAACAGCGTAGCCAAAACGTATGCAGTCTGCACGCAAGACAGGAAGGGTTAACAAGGAAAAACATTAAGTTGCTTAAACAAGCAAATCGCTCCTGATAAGGTCTCTGGAAAGCTTTCAAATATCTGCAAGCAAAAACGAGTGATAAAAGAGTCTGAAGTTAAAACAAACCTTTTTATTTCTTTTTCATTTTGTTACTTGGAACAACACCACGGCTTGCTCGAGTACACCACCACTTCCATTTCTGTGAACACAGGTATTTATATATTCGTATACACATACACTCCCAAACCTGCTAATCCTCGCTTAATTCAAACAAATCCCGAGGCTGACCCAGGTCCACCAGTGCAATTAGAAAGCGATAACAGACAGATTTAAACCGAAAGGCAGGACATAAGCCCAGGAAGCGATCCCCCACCACGACGCGGAGGTTTCTTCAGGTCAGCGCGCAGCCTGCAGCCGAGAAGGCGGAATTTTTCAAAACTGCTTCTCACGGTTTTAACAAATCTCAATTATTTTCTCTCCCCACCCCCCAGGCGACTTGGCTTTGGACCCCTACCCCTAGAGCTGCTGTAACGTGCTCGTGCTCCAGCCGGGCTAACAGACCCCCGCAACGGCTGGTCGTACACGCGAGTCACCCTCAGCTTGCTATTAGCTCTCGCCGGGTCACGGAACGACCGAGGCGGGACGGCGCCTCCGGGGATCTCCGGGGATCACCGGGCAGCTCGCTCCGCCCGCTGGAGAAGGAAAACGGGAGCGGGAAGCCCCCCGAGCGGCAGCGGAGCG